AGTTCATAGAAACAGTAATCTATTAGTAGTTGTCTGTGTCATATCAAAATACGGTTTTTGTTGCCACAGTTGTCTATAATAAATTAAGAATACTAATTCTAAACAATAGTCAAGCTATAAAGCCTAGAACTATTTTNACGGTAATGTATTACTAGTAGTCTGTGTCACATGGGTTTTTTTTCATAGCTGTCTAGAATAAGTTAAAAAAACTCTTTTAAAGAGTAGTGTGGATAGTAAGCGTAGAACTGTTTTTAAAATTATGAGAAATAGTAATCTATTACTAATTGTCTGTGTCATATGATTGTTTTGCTAGAGTTGTTTATAATAAGTTAAGAAGACTCTTTTTAAACAGTAGTTTAGCTATTAACTCTCGAACTTTTTTAAAGTTCAAAGAAACGATAACCTTCACTACAATGAATATGTGTACGCTATCTAACGTTACTTTCGTAATTTTGGGCGAAACTTTAGACAACAATCAAATAACCGATGTTTAAAACAATTCTCATTTTAAAAAATAAACACTTCTATTGAAAGAATATAAAAAGTACATGGATAGGCTGTGTAATGTCTCGCTACACACACAGGGAATTGGAAAACTCATACAATCAATCAATCTCACTCATAAAAGCATAAGAAACAAAAATAAGATGGCAAAATCCAAATAGAACGTAGGACCCACAGTGAATGTAGAATGGTGGCCTGAGGAACATAAAGGGTCCACTATATCTATCGCACGCAAGGTTTGGCTCGCCATTATTGTCTGAAAAAAAGCCTTGCACTAGAGGGGGTCTTGTTCTTCGAGTTGACATCTTGGATTTCTTTTCTAAAGATGCTTCCTCTTCACAATGATTAAAACAACCCCAAGAAAAAGGAATCTCAATCAATGTCACAAAAAGGTCAAACCAGCCCCATCAAGTGTCAAACAATGGCCACACAACTCCCTTCAAGAGTGTGCCACTGCCTATGGTTGGGGCAGTCAAAACAGCAGCTCAAAACACTCGATAAACATAACCAAAACCAGCAACTTCCTGGCAGTGTTCCTAGTAGTGCTTTCGGCCAAGTACAGGAGCAACACCAGCAGCAAATCGGTGCAAACCAGCAGCAAACCAGTGCCCCATAGTTCAGTTTCAGCTTCCATTCCAATCATTGCCCCAAAACACAATTCATGACCTCTAATCTAAGGTATTTGACTCCCAAGAGCACCTCTAAGTACCATCCCGTAGACCACTCCCAAGTTCACCTCTATTTCAGTCACTGGTTACCTCCATAAGTAAGATAAACCAGGGATAACGGGAGTAAATTCAGCAACAAGTACATCTCCAAACTCCAGTCCGTATGTTGCCCAAGAAAGTCTCAAATTTCTAGATATATCAATAGCTCAAACCCAACACAAAAACCCTTGAAATTCAGCAGCATTCTATGAGAAAAAGGCCACCTGTGATGAGGTTGCCACTGTCCAAATCACAGGAATTAGTCTTGATTTCAGCAGCACGTAAAATTCAGTCCATTGCAGGTCAAAACAACAGCTCTAGCAAACCTTTTCAGTTCCAATTTCCTGCCCAGGCACACAACAAAGTAGTTGGGCAGGTTGGAGGTCCAAACATCAGCTTTCTTAGGGGAAATATCCAGACAAAAGTTTTCCAAGAGTACAAACATCAAGTCCAAACCATTATCACCCATGGGCATTGGACTGCTAGTTCATCAATATGAAAGATGAGACCAAAATACCAATTCAATTTAACTGGCCACCACATTGAACAATTACAAGTCACGCACCATAGCAAGCCATCAAGAAAAGAGGAACATAAATTGGTGCCAAAATTCAGCATAAAAAACTCGAAGTAGTCTCGCCCAATAATCAACAAAATAAAGCAAAAAGGAAAGGTCCAACAGTAGCACAAAGTAGAAACGAAGTTCATATTGTGTACAGTAACCGCTGCATCAAATGCTAATTCAAACTCACATTTGGATTCAGAACAGGCCATTAGCCTAATGAGCAAAAAAGACCAAGCATCAATTCTTATAAGAACACTTAAACACATAAAAAAAAGGGATAAACCACCCTTCGAAACTCATTAATTATAATACATCAACACATTTATGGACACAAACTTAATCAAATCCAAGAATGAAACAAGAGAAAGTTCGAAATCATAAAAGCTCAAAATAAGTGTTGAAACTCACACTCATGCAAAGAAAAATAAAAATCTGGGAAAGAAAAACAAAGTTAGAAATCCACCGTTATCGACATCACCAACGACTTTGTCGCCGTCGATGTTCATGGTCTGCTTTGATATCGCTGGTGATCCTGCTCGCCGCACCTGGGATCGAATAAAAGAGGAAGAGATACGAAACTTGAATGGATTAAGATGCGGTGATACGAAACTTGCAAAGAGGAAAAACGAAATTAGGAAGCGAGAGAATGAAATTGGGAAGAGGGAGAATGAAATTGGAAAGAGGAAGAATGAAATTGGGAAGAGGGAAAATGAATTTTTTGATAATTGGGAAGAGGGAGAATGAAATTGGGAAGAGAAGAAACTTCCCATTTTTTCTATGTCCTTCCACTTTTTTCCAACAATGATTTTAAATATAATTTTTTTATGTGTTATTTTTTTACCAATTTGCAAATAATATGATTTTAAAAATCAAGGGGTTTTACACGTTAATCAAAGTAAGATATTCTTTTTGGGATGGAGGAAAACGTTTTTTGGAGAAATCTAAAATGGGATCTCATATGACAAAAAATATGAGCATTTAAAAGAATTGGATGTGTGCAAGTAACCAATTCAGTTATCAATACCGGTAAGATCTTATACGGTCAAAAGTATGAATATCCTAAGGAATTGGATCAGTGTGAGTAACAAGTTCAGTTATCAGTACTTATAAGATCGTATTAGCTCAAAAGTATACGTATTTAGAAGAATTGGATCTGCGCAATTACCTTGTTATTATCAGTACTTGTAAGATCTTATATGGCCAAAAATATGAGTATTTAGAAGAATTGGATCTGTGCAAGTAACCAGTTCCGTTATCAGTACCGGAAAGATCTTAGGCAATTAGGACACAACCTATACAAGTAAATAGATCTTCTTTGAAAATTTGATCTGACCTTATTATATTCAAATTTCATTTGATCAGATTAGATCTGTTTTGGTTTAATTCAATCTAATTATGTCCGATCTGATCCTTTTAAAGATTACATAAGAAAAATAGGACACAACATATATAAAAGTTTAGATTTTCTTGGAAGATTTGATCTGATCTTATTGGTTTTGAATTTGATTTGATCCCATTAGATCTGTTTTTGTCCGATTTGATCTAATTACGTATGATCTGATGCATTTAAAGATTAGATCAGGGAAATAGGACACAACCTATATAAGTGAATGGATTTGAATTTGATTCAGTCCGATTGGATCTATTTTGGTCTGATTCGATCTAATTAGATTTAATCTAATGCATCTAAAAATTAGATCAGACAAATAGGACACAACCTATACAAGTGAATAGATTTTCATATTGGATTGGAATTTGATTCGATCCGATTAGATCTATTTTGGTCTGATTCAATCTAATTAGATCCGATATGATGCATTTAAGGATTAGATCAGGCAAATATGACACAAACTATACAATTAAATTGTCTTTTAATATTTGATCTGATCTTACTAGATTTGAATTTGATTTGATTTGATCTGTTTTGGTCTAATTTGATCTAGTTTGATCTGATGATGTATTTATAGATTAGATCAGCCAAAAAGGACACGACCAATATAATTAAGTTGTTTTTTAAGATTTGATCTGATCTTAATAGATTTGAATTTGATTTGATCTGATTTGATCTATTTTGGTCTGATTCAATCTAATTAGATCCGATATGATTTTTTTAAATATTTGATCTGATCTTACTAGATTTGAATTTATAGATTAGATCAGCCAAAAAGGACATGACCAATATAATTAAGTTGGTTTTTTAAGATTTGATCTGATCTTAATAGATTTGAATTTGATTTGATCTGATTAGATCTATTTTGGTCTGATTCAATCTAATTAGATCTGATATAATTTTTTTAAATATTTGATCTGATCTTACTAGATTTGAATTTGATTCGATCCGATTAGATCCGTTTTGGTCTAATTCGATCTAATTAGGTCTGATTTAATGCATTTAAAGATTATATGAGGCAAATATGACACGACCTACACAAGTGAATAGATCTTCTTTGAAGATTTGATATGATCTTATTGGATTTGATTTGATCCGATTAGATCTATTTTGGTCTGATTTTATCTAATTAGATCTAATCTAATGCATTTAAAGATTAGATCAGGCAAATAGGACACAACCTATATAAGTGAATAGATTTCCTTCAAGTTTTGATCTCATCTTATTGGATTTGAATTTAATTCGATCCGATTGGATCTATTTTGGTCTGATTTGATCTAATTAGATCTAATCTAATGCATTTAAAGATTCGATTAGCTAATAGGACACAACCTATACAAGTGAATAAATTTTTTTGAAGATTTGATCTGATCTTATGAGAGTTGAATTTGATTTGATTCGATTAGAAAAGTTATATCGTTGGGTAGGGACTGACGAATCAAATCCAACAACGCGAACGAATCTCAATTTAGAGCAAGTTAACACGAAAAGTATGTACTCCCTCCGTCCCTAATTTGATTACAAATTGCGGGTTACGGAGTAAAATTTTCTACTTTTTGAAATAGTTTTATTTACAAATTGTTATATCAATATGATATAAAAATTACCTATTAAAAACTACGTCAAAAATTCTACAAAACAAAAAGTGAGAAGAATATTTTATTTTATCAAATACTTAATGAAGCGTAAACAAACAAAATTTATCGAGAGGAGAGAAAAAAAATTGTAATCTATTTAGGGACGAAGGGAGTATTATTCAGACAAGTTATTTTAATTAAAGAGCACAAAAACCCTAGGAATATAAGTACTCCTTTTACGCAAATTATCAGAACCCGTTCTTCTTCTTCTTCGATTGAACGCCGCCACAGGACCCTCTTCTTCTTCGATCAGGGTCGCGGCCAACCCTCCTCTCAATTTCCGATTCAGCGACGCCTGCAACAGACTACGAAGGCGCAGTGACTCAATTCATGGCGACGGTCGGCGAGTTTCCTTCGTCGATTCAACAACAGCAACCGCCTGAGGAGGCAGTGCTCTGGCGACGGTGAGAGAACTCCGGCGAAGCGCAGCGGCAATCGGCGACTTCCCTCCGGCGACGTCCAGTCAGCCACTACCATCTATTCCGGCAAACCAGCCCAGACATCATGCGGTTCACCTCTGCTCTGGCGACTGAACCAACGGCGAGAATTGAGCCAGCGAAATCCGGCGAGGAATCTGGTGGCGAGCCTCTGCTCCGGCGAGAAAAGCAGCGGCGGCGTCTAAGCGGCAGACTAGTCTAGAACAGATCAAATTTCTGACAGTCATTGTTGATAAAATTCACGTGCACGTGTTCATCAAAGTCCAGAAGTCAAGGGCTTACTTCTAGCGCTTTCCGGTCAAGTTCAAGAGAAGATGAGGTTTGAATTTTGAATAGACCTTTGAAATCGAATTTAGCTTGGTCAATGGGTTTCTTTCTGTTAGATCTCTCATGTTTCTGTGTTTTGTGCAGAGGGAAAGACAGATTACAAAGCTAGGACTTGGCTGATCAATCATGACAAGAACAAATATATCACCCCGAAATACCGCCTTGTTGTTCGATTTGTATGTGCTACAACTTTTTGGTTTATTTACCTACTGTAACTTTTTTCAGTTTGTGGTGTTCATCTTGAGTCTTTTCAATTTTCAATTATTAAATGCGCAGGAATGATGTAATGGAGGATAGATTTGGTGTGTTGATAATGTTGGTGAATCAATTAGCTGCAGATGGATTCTGTTGTAATTATACATTGGAATTTTGTATTATTCATTTCGCTAACAATTTTGATGATGATATGGTTTATAATTGGTTTTGGTATATATGGAAAAAAGGCTACAAAGAGCACACTTGATGGGATAATCGACACAGTTTCTGCAGTTCATCCTCTTACGCCACTACTAAGCTTATTGAAGATCAATGGTAAGCTTGTATTGGTTGGTCTCCCAGAGAAACCCCTTGACTTGTTGGCGTTTCCCTTGATCATGGGTATGTAATATTAGCCACACTTCCATTCACGTATTGTACATATCTCTGCTCCGCCTTGGCATTGATCTAAAATGAACTAAATGACATTAATTTCATGTTTTGATTGTGGATCGCAGGCAGAAAATTGGTTGCAGGATGTGGCATCGCTGGAATAAATTAAAGGAGACTCAAGCCAACATAACATCACGCCCGATGTTGAGATTGTGCCGATGGACTGTCAACACCGCCATGGAACGCCTAGCCAAAGCCAACGTGAAATACAGATTCGTATTGGATTTTTCCACAGAGGAATAGGATGGATTGAAAAGGCATGCATGTAGAATATGCAAATTGTAAGGAAGATGATGTAAATATTAAATTATTAGATGTTAATAGTATTTTAAATGTATGAATTTATATATTGTTCAATATATTGTATTTTTTGAATTTATATTTATTTGGTAATCAACACAAGATAACAGCTGTCTAATAAAAAATTTAACTACCATTCAAACTAATAGTTTGAAGAGTATGTGTACAACTACACAAACTCGTAGTATTAATAACATGTAGACGATCAAAACAAACAGTTGTTTGAAATACTACAAAAACAGTTCATATTTTTAAAATACAACGCGAAATAATGGTTGTCTGAAGCAAATTTATATAGTAATCTTTAGAGTAGCTGTCTCATAAACAATTCAACTACTGTCATAAAAGATAGCTAGTTTGAATATTTCAAGAAAAACTACAAAACACTGTTGTGTTAATAGTCAATATACAACTAAAACAAACAGTAGTTTGAATAAGAATAATGTTAGTAGTCCATATTCTAGAAATACAACAAAAGATAAATGGCATTTTTGTTTAGTAGTCTTCCGAGCAGCAGTCTGATATATCTTTCAATTACTTTTTAAAGTAGATGTCTATATTGTTGAATGACAACACCAAGAATTAGAAGTCTAAAGTTAAAAACAACAGTAGTATTCATTATACATAGACAACAAAAAATCACAGTTCTCTTTAACTCTAAAAAACAGATGTCTTACTCAAACAAAGACAACACTAAAAAGTCGTACTCTAAAACATTACAAAACAGGTGTCGTCAACCATTTTACACAACTATTTTAAACAATAGTCTGTAAATATATCAGACAGCTACTCGGAAGACTACTGAAATCAGCACCGTGAGACTACTAAAAGAAACAGTTGACAGCATCTGTTTTTGACGTAGTGCTCGTGAGTAAGGAATTCATCCTTCACTCCGACCATGAGGCGTTGAAATACATTCAAGGGCAGCACAAGCTTCGACCCCGTCATGCCAAATGGGTTGAATACATTCAAACCTTTACATTCACCATTAGGCACAAGAACGGGTCCATGAAAAAAGGTGCGGATGCGTTGTCCTGGAGACACTTATTACTAACGGTACTTAGTACCAAACTTCTTGGTTTTGAATTTTTGCAGGAGCTCTACAAGGATGATGAAGATTTCAAGGAGATGTATGCCCAATGCTTATCTCGGCCCCATGGAGATTACCTGATCAAAGATGGTTACCTCTTTCCTTAGCCATTTTTGGATGACATTGTGGAGTAATCTTCTTCTTATTCATCAAAAATGAATAAGTGTTGGCATAACCATCAAGTTGCACACGGTGATCAAACAGCCATGGTCGTCCTAAGAGGATATGGCAAGCGTCCATCAGGATGATATCACACCATACTTCGTCTTTGTACGAGCTGCCAATGCTTAAGGGAATGAGGCTTTGTGTGTCAACACGTAAACCCTTGCCATGATTCAACCATTGAATCGTATATGGTTTCGGGTGTGGTGACGTCTTCAAATGCAGCTTGTCTACCATGGTTTTGGAAGCTGCATTGGTGCAACTTCCACTATCAATGATGAGGGAACACACCTTCTTTTGGACAGTACAACGGGTGTGGAATATGTTTTCCCGTTGTAGTTGATCCTCGGGGCATGCTAGAGTACTCAAAGTCCTTCGGATGACCAAGAGTTCGCCATCATCGGGGCCAAAATACTCATCTTGTTCTTCAGCTGCTTTAACTTCTTCCACGATCCAAGTCGGGTCAAGGTCTTCTTCATCACACTCAACGATTGCCATTACTTTCTTGTTAGGGCATTCGTTAGCATAATGACCTCGTCCTTGACAACGAAAGCAGATAGGAGCTTTCTTGGTGGGATCAGCCCTAGGAGGGAGAGATGAGGATGGGTTTCTTTGGGGTGGTACGGTTGAGGAGGGGGGGGGGGGTTGAACCGTAGGCAGTGGGTGTGGTTTTATTGGAGTTGAAGGGTGTTTTGGAGGGTGAGTAGGTGGGTTTTTGGAGGGATGAGTTGGGCCGTGTGTAGGGGGAAGGTGTTTTAGAGAAAAGGGCCTTTGACTTCTTGATTTGAGCTTCCACTTTGAGGGCTAACTTGGTGAGCTCCTCGAGGGTCTCGTAGTTTTGTAACTCCACTGTATTGGCTATTTGTAGGTTCAAGCCAAAAAGGTAGTGTTCAAAGGTTGCTCATCGTCTTCTTGTAAATCACACCTCAACAAGAGTTCCTCAAACTCTCGATTGTAATCTTCCACGGACTTTGAACCTTGCCTAAGCGTTTGGAGCTTAGCAAAATTCTCACGGATGTACTCAGCGGGTAAAAACTTGTTCATCAAGAGGGACCTCATCTTAGTCCAAGTAGACACCAGTTCCTTACCGTTTCTTCTTCTTTTGGTGCAAGTATTGTTCCACCAAGTGGATGCATACTTGCGGAACTTCAAGGCCACTATCTTGACCTTCTTCTCATCGGAAACTTCTTTGAAATTGAAGACACGTTCCACCGTCTCTAGCCATTCTAGGAACTCATCCGGTCCATTCTTTCCTTCAAAGGTCAGAATGTCCACCTTGAAATCAGAACCTTCATGGACGGGAGCCCTAGTTTTGTTGATTCCACTAGTGCTAGCGTCATCCTCATGATCACTTCCTTGTAGTGCATTCAGTTTTATCTTGGTAAGTTTAGCCACTTCTTTGGCCAAGTATTCAACTTAGGCCTTCAAGGCTGCATTGGAGGCAACAAGCTCTTCATGGGACATGGGTTGGGATTCATTTGACATGGTTGAAGTGGGAAAAAGGTGAGGAGGGAAGTTTAGCTTGGCCGTAGGGTTTAGGGAGAGAGGAAGGTAGTTTTTAGCTCAAAATGCTTACTTCTTGGGAGGGATGGTGAATGGCCCTTGGGGATGTTCAACACTTAGCTCTGATACCAAATGTTAGGCTCCAACTTGAGATGAAAGGGAAAGAAATAGGGTCGAATGAGGGTAAGGAAAGGTGGAGAGTTTTTAGTGGAGCTTGTATGATATTTGAAGAGGGAAGGGGCTGTTTTGGAGAGAGGGACGTATGGGCAGTAAAGAAAGGGTATTGGGAAGGCTTGTATTTTGTTAAGGAGAGGAGAGAAAAGGGAATATATGGGTGGTGGGAGGAGTGGAGGCCGTGATATATCCCAGAGCACCACAAATTACCCTCAAGTCCTTAAGGAAATCAATGGAATAATGTCCAAGTGTTATGACCCCCTCTGGAATGAAATCATCACCAAACCATGCACCCTAACCATACTTACCCTGAACCCATCACTACCTTAATAACCAATCCTAACATTTCACAATCCATTCCCAGGAATCCAAATAAAACCAAGCCACAATTTCCCTTTCCTCTTATTTTACAATGCCGAAAATAAGTGTCCAAAAACACACCCAGCATGGTCCCCATTATGTTCCCCAATACACTCAAATTATAACCCAAAATGCCCAGGGATATTTTCCTTTCACAATAATACATCCAATCCCCACAACAAACCTACAACAAAACTCCAAATGACACACCCCACACACACCCCTTTGTCTCCCAACCCTGACCNATAAGTGTCCAAAAACACACCCAGCATGGTCCCCATTATGTTCCCCAATACACTCAAATTATAACCCAAAATGCCCAGGGATATTTTCCTTTCACAATAATACATCCAATCCCCACAACAAACCTACAACAAAACTCCAAATGACACACCCCACACACACCCCTTTGTCTCCCAACCCTGACCAAATTCAAATTCCCCCAAAACCTCCACAAATACCCAGCCAAATGTACTACTTCATCTTACCCCCACTTCTTGGCCCTCAACCTCAGCCCTCCCCACATTCATCCCTCCTTCCCTTAACATTTCCTATAACTCAGAAACAGCCCAAAACCCCACCAAACAACCCATATCCCTGATTTCATTCCACTTAAGAAACATAAGCACATGGGCATTATTTTGAGTGAGCTGTATTTTCCCTTATTCCCTCCAATGTAATCCTATATATTCAGCAATAGGCCTGGGTGTAGAAACACATTGTATTCCAATTTTAAATCAAAGTGACTCACGTGTGTGTTTCATTCCAAATTCCTAATCCTATATCTTGAGTGTGAGTTTTAGGTTCTAGTTATTTGAATAAGTGTGTGATATCTTATTTGAATTCTAGACTCAACCCCAAGTTAAGATAAGAGTGTGTAATATCCCTTAACACCAACTCGGCTTTTCCCAAAGAAATACTTCTTTTCCTGTCTCGAGCTGTCAAATAATCGATTATCGTTAGTAGAAATCGATTATCTATCCTTCGTGAAACATCTGCAGCCTTCAATAATCGATTATCACTTTTAGACAATCGATTATCAGCTTTTCCCAGAAATCTGCAATTCTCAATAATCGATTGGCACTCCTCCGTCAATCGATTATCGTCCTTCTCAGAGAATTCCTAGAAAACTGCCAAGAACCTGAAGCCTTCAACAATCGATTATCCACTTAGGACAATCGATTATCTTCCCCTCCCTGCAAATAAAGAGTTTGAGACTATAAAACCCTGAGCTTAGATATAACAGGCCGAATGGGAGAGGAGAGGAGAGATAGAATTCTTTTGGGTTTTTCTTTAAAGGGGGGATAAACCAAGTTGGTGTTGGGAGATATTACACACTCCTATCTTAACTTGGGGTTGAGTCTAGTATTCAAATAAGATATTACATACTTACTTAAATAACTAGAACCTAAAACTCACACTCAAGAGAACCACTCTTACGATATAGATTTAGGAATTTAAAAAGAACACACACAAGTGTATTTCTTTAATAGTAATGGATTACAAAAGATGATTCAAGTTTGATGGCCTAGGGCCGTATTTATACAAAGAAAAGGGGAAAAACATAAGGAAGCTTCCTTGCTACTTTCACTCAAATCAAAGGAATAATATCCACTTATTTTAAGGAATGAATTTAGGGACTTTGAAGGGTTGTGGGGGCTTGCTGTTTCGGCCAATAATGAGGGAAAAGGGGGAAGGTTCCTTGGCTGGAAATAGGCCATTGTGTTCGGCC